TGAGAGTATAGTCTAGTACTAGTGTACATGTTAACATGAACCACATGTTTATTTGAATTTAATTGTGGATTTGTTGCGTTTCTTTCTTGTAGACCAACGGCTTCTAATTAAAAAATGTATTTTTTGGACTTATTTGCAATTTTTTCAAAGAGCATAATTAAAAAAAAGGGGGGCATAATTTGGAAAAAAGAGCACAATTTTGGCATAATTTCGCCGAAAAAAAAGCAATGCTACTAGCATAATATGGTACTTTAACTAGCATAATCTTTAAAGGCCTAATGGGCAATACCGTATACCAGCATTTGTATCCCAAAGGCCATTTATTATCGACCTTGTCCCCCGACGAAGAAATTTTGTCACCATGAAAACGAGGTAGGTTTAAAAAAATGGCGCCTTCTTTGTGCCATGCGCAATCACGAATTTTCGACCGACATTTTGAATTTCTGCCCGTCAGATGTTCGCTTCGAAGTGGAAATGGCTTTGACTAGAAGTGAACTCCGTGTTCTAGCCTTACTCGGCTTGGTTATTTTGATTTTATGGTCGTTTTTCGGCTTATTTTGGAGCCTTCTTCTCGTTTTTTCGTTTCTGATATACGCATATAATTTCGGAAGACATGGGAATGGGAAAATTCAACGAGCTCACGAAGAAGTTGACAGCGAACCAGATTTGACGTTTCACGAGAAATCGAGGAATGATTACCCGGCGCTTCAAGACTTGGAGTTTACTGGTTTACCCACAGAAAGATATTCTTTGCGATCACCCGCGCCTTTAATGTCGGTGACCAAAAAGCTTAGTTTTAACACAAGGTGAGATTTTTGTTCTATCTGTAGGCAGCGAAAGGTCTTAATCGAACTTTTAAACTCATCATTCGACAGAATGAGCCATGCTCTTATTAGGACATAGCTACTTAAAAAAAAATATTAAAAGGGAAATAAAGGAAATGTAGAATTTGCAGCTGAAATGTGAGACCCCTAATTTTTTGACGCTATTATTTTTTGAAAAACTGCACATGACAAAGAAGACAGTGTAAATACTTGCGTATTCAACTTATTCCTCATCGGAGCCGTAAATTTGATTTCCCTTTCTTGGTCACTAACAACTTCAATCACTGGATGCAGTTTCCTTTACCTTTTCGTTTTCAATTTGTAAGAGCCTACTTTGTGACCAACAAATATTATGCTTCAATCAATTCAAAGCTTCAACATTCCCCTCACCCCCCCCCCCTAAGAAATTCGAAATTTTGCAGAATGGTTTGTTCAAATCCCGGCACCCTTCCCCCAGACCAAAATTGTGTTGAAATGCTAAATTTTTTTCTGTATTTTTTTTTTTTTCAGTGAAGCCAAATATTTATTAGTCAAATAAAAATGATTTCTATTTTCAGTTCCACGACACCTTTTCAAACAAGAAAAGCCTGGAATAGCAGAGAAATGACTGGAACTCAATATCCAGCAAGGGGAAGTGCCTTTGCTTATCACCGCAAGCCGCACAATTTTAGTCTTTTGAATCCAGCCCTACAGAGGCCATCTACTGTTAAAATAGCTTCACCAGATGTTACAGTTAATCGGACATTTACATTGTGAGTGATCAGTTTTCCTCATCAAGTTTAAGTTTAAGTTTAAGTTTAATTCATTCGCCACAGGAATGGCAGGAGAAAGGAACAGAACTTT